TTCTGGGAGGTACTTAAAATTTCAAGAATAAAATAGCAAAATTTGTTTTATTTGAGAGGGATTTTATACAAAGAATGTCATAAAGGGCACAGTGGCGGTGGCACAGGAGTTAAGTGATCGCCCCGTAATCAGAAGGTTGCAGGTTTGAGCCCCGCTCATACTCTGTCATTGTCATTGTGTCCTTGGGCAAGACCCACCTTGCCTGCTGGTGGTGGTCAGAGGGACCGGTGGTGCCTCTGTACTGCAGACTCGCCTCTTGTCAGTGCGCCTCATGGCATTTGTGGCTACAACGTAGCTCATCACTACCTGGGTGTGAATGTGTGTGTGAATGAGTGAATCACTGGTTATGCTGTAAAGCGCCTTCGGGGGTACCAGGACTTTAGAAGGTGTCCTATCAAATACAGGCCATTAACCCTTTAAACTTGTTTTGTATAGACCATTGAAGTATTACATCAACTTAAAAATCAACAAAAAGAGTACTTATAGGTCTCCTTTAGGCAAAAGTAACCCTCTGGTTGTTGTTTTGTTTTCCCATTAGGACTGTTTCATTGCTGTATTAGCAATGTTTGTATGGGTTCATTCAGAGAAAATCTGTGACAAATAAATGAGTAAATAAATAAAAATATTTTATTTGTATTGTGCTTTACATCATAAAGATCTCTCAGCTCTTACAGAAAGAAAGGAGATGATTATGAAAATTTAAAGCTTTACTGAAGAAACCTTCTGCTACTGTTGTATTACCCAAAATCCCCAAAAGTTTGGGAGTGGATGTGAGTACAGAACATTTTTTAAAGAGTATTTTGGAAATTTTATGTCCATGAGCCTAAGCAAAATGACCACCCTAATAATGGTCAAAAGTCCCTATTGTCACTATAATGGTTCTGAGATGTTAGGGCAAGAACATGTGGGAGTGTCCATTTTCTGGATTTTTTAAACTTTATTTTGATTCTGTGGTTTCAATAATTGAGTGGACATATTTCCCACCAATCCCATTAGCTCTCATTTGATTTATAAGTGTGTGTGTGTGTGTGTGTGCGGGGGGGGGGGGGGGGTAGGAGCTAGATGAATATCTCACACACGTACACTTGGAGTCTTTCGGCATCACAATGAGTCTTGACAAAAAAAGTTTTACCCTCTTCATTTTTCACTAATATTCTGGCTGAAATTATTACTCCATTTATCTGTTGGATTCCCGTCACAGAAAATATTACATCATAGGATGTTTTCATATCTGTTTTTCAATCAGATAAACTATTTTTAGGGGAAAGTTCAACATCAGAACAGTTCTGTAGTTTGTGAGTCATTGTGAGTCATCTGTTGCCACTGAAGTTCTCTCACCTGAAACTAGTAGTAATAACTATACTATAATTAATATTTTAAACAATTTTATGGTACTTTTCCTGTATATGTTAACTAAATATACATAATAAATGACCTGCACTTGTATAGCACCTTTCAGTGTCAGAGGACTCCAAAGTTCTTTACACTACAGTGTATCATTCATCCATGCACACACACATTCACACGTTGGTGATGATGAGCTACATTGTAGCACAGCTGTCCTGGGGTGCACTGACAGAAGCGAGGCTGCCGAGCACAGGTGCTGCCAGTCCCTCCGACTGCCACCAGCAGGCAGCGAGGGTTGAGTGTCCTGCCCAAGGACACAACTGCCACATTCTCTGTCAGTAGTCCGAAACGATCCTACAACCCTCCGATTACTGGACGACCCACTCTACCTCCTGAGCTACTGCTTCCCTTGAGCTAAGGTGTTACATCACCCTACACTGAATAATGTTCAGTAATGGTGTTAGTAATCGGTAGCCTGGCAAGCATCCTATATACACTGGGTATATTGGGGCAGCATGCCCAAATGCTCGTTCACCCCGCGATTTGTATCGCATCCGGGGCATACACAGCAGCAAAAGGTCAGCCGACCTCAACGTGTGCGTGGGTACATATGGAGTGAGCAGGTCAGAGAGATAGGGAGGTGCCAAGCCGTTGAGTGATTTAAATACAAAAGTCAATAACTTCAACTATACTCTGAAAATGACAGGGAGCCAGTGAAGATGTTCCAGGACAGGGGTAATGTGGCTACGTCGGTGTGTATTCGTCAAGGACCTGGCAGCAGCGTTCTGGACGACCTGCAGCCGATTCAGGGCAGAGACTGGAACACCAACTAGGAGGGCATTTGCATAGTCCAGGCGAGAGGTAATGAAGGCATGGATGACTGACTCCAAATGCCTCCGTTTCAGGATCTGTCTGAGGCGAGTCAGGCGGCGAAGCTGATAAAAGCAAGACCTCGCTACGGAGTTTATCTGTGGGGCCATTGTGAGTTCAGCATCCAGCTTTACCCTGAGACTTGTCACACTTTGTTTGGGGTTGAGGGTTAAAGGTCACAAACAGGGTGAGAGCCATGGTGGTTGCGGGGGTCAAAAACAATGTACACAGACTTATTTTCATTTAACTTTAAGAAGTTGGATGCCAGCCAGCCCTTCAAGTCATCTAAACATGCAGCCAATCGCGAGCCCGCATTCTTCTCATCCATTTCTACATATAGTTGACAATCATCAGTGTAAATGTGATAGCTCAGGCCATGCTGATTCAGGATGTTGCCCAGAGGCAGAAGATAGATAGAAAACAGCAATGGCCCAAGAACGGAACCTTGTGGCACCCCCCAAGGCAGTGGAAGACAGGAGGATGCACAGTCACCAATCTGTACAGAGATGGTACGGTTTGATAGGTAGGAGCGGAACCATCTATGTGCCACCCCCGTTCACCCCAACCCAAGACCCAAGCCGTAAAATATGGTGATCGACCGTATCAAAAGCCGCTGAAAGGTCCAGCTGGAGCAGCAGTACCCTAGACCCAGAGTCGGGATGCCACCAGAATGTCATTTAGCACCCTAATCAAAGCAGACTCAGTGCTATGGTGTGGTCTGAAGGAGAACTTAAACACATCCAACAAGGAATTGCTGTTAATATGAGCAGAGATCTGACCATGAACAATTTTCTCAAGGGCCTTCGAGAGAAACGGGACTTTCGATTTAGGGCGGAAGTTCTCATAAGTGGAGAGATCCAGACCAGGTTTCTTCAATATTGGCTGAACAACCGCATCTTTAAAAACCTTAGGGAATACTCCAGTGCTGAGTGTTCATGAGTGCCGGGCTCAGTGCAGACACTGAGTCACACACCAGTTTAGCCGGGAGGCAGTCCACCGAAGAGCCAGCTCACTTCATGGAGCTAATCAGTTTCATCAAGTCAGCAAGCTGAACTGGAGCAAAGTCCGAGAAGGCAGGTGGGTCAGGCGGTTCCACATGGATAGTGTGTATTTGAGGCTGGAGGCTAAGCCTAGTACCAAGGATCTTGTTTAGGAAAAAGCTCTGTAGCTCTGTGCACAAAGCAACACTGGGATTTAGACCATCAGACTCATTTAACAGCAGCAAGGAGTTAATTGTGCTGTACAGCCTAGACTGGTCTCCATGATGTTGTGAAATGATAGCAGAAAAGTAGTTGTTACGAGCAGATATAACTGCTTTCTGGTAGAGTGAAAGTGCATCAACCAGGAGCAGCCAAGAGCATGACAGTCTGTCTCTCTTCCACCTCCATTCCAGTACCCTACACTGTCGCCTGAGGCTACGGGTGTAATCATTCAGCCAAGGGTCGGATATTGTCTGTTTCCGCCATGCTAGTGGACAATGAACAAAGTGATTGCTAAGGATGTCAGTCAAATGGGCAGTCCACCATATGCTGTCGAATAAGACGAAAATACATCCTTTTTCTAAATAAAGGACTTAAAGGCCTCTATCTGCACTTGATTCAAAAAATATATATAGTCCAAAGTTGAGGT